ATCAAGCAAGCGCCTACCAAACGTAGGAAACTGATTACAAAGTGCTTTTAAAATATGCTACCAAACATGGTAAAAAGAATGTATATGCAAATATTTTGCAGCAAACTGTTTACATATGTAAATACTTTACGTGTGTAAATATTTATGCATGAACTAAACATACCCTAAAGATCATGTGGTAGTCTTTTCCCTTTTCCCTAAATTTCTCAATCAGTCGACTAAAGAATAAAATAGAATCAACTGTTGACCTCCCTAGTATAAAGCCAAACTGATTTTTTGATAATACTCGTTTCATGCCTCAGTTGTTGCTCAATAACTCTATCATACAACTTCATAGTGTGGCACATAAGTTTGAACCCTTAACAAATAGTCCAATTCTATTTGTCTCATTTGTTCTTGTAAATATACACCATAATACTTTTTGTCCATTTTTCTAACATTTTCTTTGTTTCTAAAACCTTGTTGAAAAACTTGAGCAGTCAGTATATGTCAATCTCCTCCATGCACTTCCAAACTTCAATAGGAATACTATGTAATCCTAAAGCCTTTCCTAACATCATCACTCTATATGTTTCTTTCATGATATCCTAATCTTGCGAAAATATCTGTGACCTCCACGTTCCTTTATTTCTCTTCTTTTTTTTTCAATTTTTTTTTTTTTCATTTTTTTCCTTTGCTAATGTGTATATGAATATTGTGGACTTTTTACATAATTATTTGCAATTTGCCCTCCAAGAGACTTGAATTCATCCCTTAGGTACATAAACTTTATTTTCCTTTTCTGCCTTCAATATGTACGGGTTAGAGTTTCATCCCTTTCTTCTGCTTCTATGATGATCACAAGCTTTCTTGTTGATTTTCTGCATTTTGCATTGCAAGACAGTTGAATTCTGCTTCTATGATGATCACAAGCATTCTTGTTGATTTTCTGCATTTTGCATTGCAAGACAGTTGAATTCTTTGGGCCATTGAAGTAAACAAATTTTATTTTCCTTTTTCAAGTCAAGTTTTCATCTTTTTCATTTGTTTTGATTAAGATGACATCTTTCTTGGTTGAATTTTGGAAAGAAATAATGGCTGTGATTCTTTCTGTTTTTTTATACTATAAAAGTTCTAAACATTACCGGAAATTGGAAAGCAGGTCACCCACCTTATTATTTCCAGAAATGATTGTTGTATGCAAATTTCTCCAGAGATGCACCTTCTTGACAAAATATTTTCAGTTTCTTACTAGGATGCGGTGAGCATGCTGCCAGCCCACATATTGTAGAAATGCTATTAGCAATAAATATATTTTTTAATATATTTTGGTCCTAATTTTTAGAGAATATATAATTTTTAACATAGAGATCATGAATATGAATAAATAAATAAAATTTGGAAACTAAAAATAATACTTATATTAAGAAAACGTTTGAACCGTTAGTTACAATTGTTTTTAGATGGACCACCTATTTGCATCTATCTTTATGATGGATGCTTTGTACCTCTGGACCGCATATTGTAGAGTGCGGTCCGGCTTGCATGAAACAATTGTTCTTCTTACTATGTTCTGGATTTTCTATTAGTGAGATAATGCCCTGAATTCCAGTTCTTCTGAAATTTGAGCATCCACCTTAAAGAAATTTGATATGGTGTGTCCCCCTCTGCACCAAACAGTTATGACCCCACTCAACTATATCACCATGGTTTTCCATAGCCCATTAGATTATATTATATTATAGTACAGTTTCCCTTATATCCAAACCTTACTTTAGGTTATCTCCATCTTAATTTGCCTATTCAATATTTAGTTGAATTATTTTCATTGATGCTTAGTAAGAGAAGCTTCACTTATATTGATTGGTTTCTCATGATGTCCCAAGCCAGGTTTCCTATTCCCTTTTGGTGTTCTTTTGTGGCATGTTCATCACTGTTGATGGGCTTGAAAATACTGGAATTCCCGGTGCTTTTTGGGATGTCATGGAGCCTCACTCAAGGATAGATAGCATTGGTGGGGTCGCAGTTCTCACTGTAGTAATTGTTTTGCTCTCGAACTTCATTTCGAATGTTCCCACAGGTAAGTCTATGTTCACCTTTTTTAGCCTTTCTTGTAGGAAATGTATATGATGCTCTCAAGAAGCCGACCCCAATTAATTGGAAAAAAACTATGATGATGATGATGTGATGATTTTAGGAACCATAAAAAACTATAGTCCATAGAGGCTATGACCGTACAATGTAATGATGGATAGTCATGGAGATTGAGCTGGACCCACAAGAACATGAAACGACCATATTGGATCCCTCTCTTTCTCCATCACCATTCATCGTTTGTAGGACAGTCGCAAACTCTGTGGACTGCATTTTTCTATAGTCCACTGGACATTGATATTACTGCCATGTCCGTTAGGTTCATTGAGATGCACAGTATTCCTCAACTTCAAAAAGAAATTCATGACGAGTCCTTATTATGCCAAAGAATATTTTGTAAAAATTTACATTTTGTATGAATCTTTATTTATTTGATTTTTAGTTCAATTTTCAAAATGTAAAAGAATTGTTACCACTGTTGCCGTTGCATGAAGTTTTGACAGGTTGAACTGCATTGGTATTGTTGAGATTGATGCTTTTAGCGTCTTTATTTCTACTTTTTATAAATTTGATGATGTTATAGACTGATTTTTCACTATTTTCCAGCTAAATTTGTTCTTGCAAGTCCGACCATGTTTAGTGCAACTGAACCCAAAAATTGCCTACATGAGCAGCCTCTTTGTTAGTAGCTTTTTGTATTTAGGAGTTAGGACCCGATTTCTATGTCAAGCCTGCATAGGTAGAAATGCAGGCCTCTTAATAAATCTATTTTTTAGATGGATTTTAAGACTTAATTTTTAAGGACATGTAATCTCTAACATGAAAATCATGAATATAAAAAAATAAATAAATTTGCAAAACAATTTTCCTTGTATTTATTATCATGAAATGGAAGATGACTAACATACAATTGAGAGCTTCATTCTTCATATGACACATGGGGCCAAGACATGTATGTCCTCAAATCTCATTGCATGGACTGTAGTATTAAATTACTGCCATTTAAAAGCATAAAGATTTGTTCGAAGTATTCATATATTGTAAAAGGAACCAAGTGGAGCATGTACCATAGTTTACACTTAGAAAAGCATGATGCTATTTCACAAGATTTCATCATCAGCATATACCATCAAATTTTTTATCTTTTCAAGCTTACTCCATAAGAGTCCTCGATGTTCTTATGCCTCAGTTTCATCGCTTTAGGATATTGTTAAGAATGAAATCCCCACTTAGATGGTGCATGATTGGAGATGACCTAGGGATTTTGAAGATATAGTAGGTGCAAACTTTAGGGCTCCTTTTGCTCCATGGTTAACAAACCCGGGTTTCGAATCAAAACCTTTTTATGTCATTGATTATATTAAAACCCGGTTACTTAAACAGGATTTGTTTGGATGGCTTTGAATGGTAACCACGTTATGCAAATCTCATGTTTAGATCATTTTTGTATAACCTAGTTTGCTATTATAGAATGAGAGAGAATATATCAAACTTGAAATTTTGAGATAGTTTCTCTTTCTAAAAAATTTAATATAGTTTTTCTTTCCAAAAAAATTTGAGACAATTTCTCTCTCTAAACATTTGAAATTTAAGATAGTTGACAATTTCTCTCTCTAAAAATTTTGAGACAGTTTCTACCTCTAAAATTTTTAGGTAGTTTCTCTCTCTAAAATTTGAAATAAAAAACTTAAAATTTGAGATAGTTTCTCTCTCTAAAAATTTTCTCTCTAAAATTTATTATAGTTTCACTCTCTAAGATGTTTAGATGCTCTCTCTCTAAAACTTGAAATTTGAAATAGTTTAAAAATTTTGAGACTGTTCTCTCTGAAAAGTTTTAGGTTATTTCTCTCTCCAAATTTTGATATAGTTTCTCTCTCTAAAACTTAGAATTTGATATAGTTTCTCTCTCTAAAAATTTTGAGATAATTTCTCTCTAAAAAAGTTTCAAGTTATTTCTCCCTCTAAGACTTAGAATTTGATATTGTTTCTCTTTTGAAAATTTTTGAGATGGTTCTCTCTATAAAAATTCAGGTATTTTCTCTCTCTAAAATTTTAAGATACTTTGTCTCTCTAAAACTTGAAATTTGAGATAATTTATCTCTCTAAAAGTTTGGAATTAGTTTCTATCTCTAAAAATTTTAGGTAGTCTCTCTCTTTATAATTTGCATTTTCTCTCTAAAATTTTAAGATACTTTCTCTCTTTAAAATTTGATATGTTAAAATGGTTTCTCTCTCTAAAAAATTATGGGAAGTATGTCTCTCTCTGAAATTTTATATAGTTTCACTCCCTAAAATTTCATGATACTTTTTCTCTAAAATTTGAAATTCAAGATAGTTTCTCTATCTAAAAATTTTCAGGCAATTTCTCTATTTAATATTTGATGTAGTTTCTCTCTTAAAATTTTTAAGATACGTTTTTTTTCTAGAACTTTACAATTTGAGAAAATTTCTCTCTCTAAAAATTTGACATAGTTTTTCTCTCAAAAAATTTTTGGATAGTTTCTCTTTAAAATTTGATATAGTTTCTCCCTCTAAAATTTTAAGAAATTTTCTCTATCTAAAGCTTAAAAAATTTGAGATACTTTCTTTCTCTAAAAATTTTAAAATAGTTTCGTTTTCTAAAAACTTTCAGGGGATTTTACTCTCTAAAATTTGATATAATTTCTCTATCTAAATTTTAAGGTACATTTTCTCTCTAAAACTTTAAAATTTGAGATAATTTCTTTCTCTAAAATTTGAAATATTTTATCTCACTAAAAAAATTCAGGTAGTTCTCTCTTTAAAATTTGATATAGTTTTTCTTTCTAAATTTTAAGATACTTTCTCTATCTAAAACTTAAAATTTGATATAATTTCTCTCTCTAAAAAATTTTAGATAGTTTCTCTATCTAAAAATTTGAGATAGTTTTTCTCTCTAAAAATATGAGATAGTTTCTCTCTTTAAAAATTTTCAGTAGTTTCTTTCTCAAAAATTTGATATAGTCTCTCTTTCTAAAACTTTAAGATACTTTCTCTCTCTAAAACTTAAAATTTGATGTAGTTTCTCTCTCTAATTTTTGGGGATGTTTTGGTAGAGTTAATTATAGTTAATAAAGTGTGCAGCTCTGGTGTGTAAAAATAATATTATGTATTATAGTGTATTCTCTCTTTCATTCTTACACAGGGTCATGTTTTGGATAACCCAATTTTTTTCTTGATTTTGTGTATTCATGTTTTGGCCCTCTTTCTTAGTTACAGAAACATGATTATATATCCAAAAAAGATTGTAAAACAAGTTTTAATGCAAGATACCTTAAGTATACAAAACATGGATTTGGATACCCTAGGATCCAAACGACCCAGTAGTGATTAGAAGATATAGCACATTTTTAGGTGCAAGCTTTAGAATTGTGTGGTGTGGTGTGGTGTGGTTTTCTTGCAAAATAGTGAATGATGTAGCTTGTGTGATGGGTTTTAGGGCACTTTAGTCGGTGATTTGAAAATTGTCGATACAACTCAGTATAACCCAAGTTGAATCGAGATCAGGAGGTCTGCGATTCTAGCTCAAGGAACCTGGAATTGCCTATTCTCCAAGATCAAGTGAGATGGATTGCAATCGACAATTTAGTTCAATTTTCTTTTGGAAGTGAGTAACCCCGATTCCTGTTTTCAAATCACTGCCTTTTCCTAGTACATCCAAGGAACTAAAAATACCGTCCATATTTAGTACTCGTTGCATCATTAGAGACATGGTATTTTGGAAGTGAGTGCCCAAACGATATTGTCTTCTCTCTATCATGCATAAAAAGAAATCACCTTTACTTATGATATGCATTATACATGGGAAGATAATAGTATATAATTTATATCAACAGTCTAAGACTCGGCCAAGGCAATTCGGACTCGGCTGGAAAACTCGACGTCGCCCTATGTTTTGGGCGAATCAGTTGCACATTATATTTTCTTTTAGTTTAATTATATTAATATATCAAGTCTAAATCAAATTTGCTCAAGTGTCTTAAAAGTTCAACCATGGTAGCTACCTTTTCCCACTTTTGAAAACGTCTTTCGTTATTTTAACCGAATGGGGGTCTAAATCTCCTGCAAAGTGGCCTATTTAAGCATAAAGAAATAACTAACACAACAATTGTTGCTTGATGATAAAAAGGTGGCACTTATAATATATATAGCTGAATTTTATCTTATTGTTCTATAAAAAAAAATGAATTGGATTCGAGAGAATTACTTAAACTCGCCCAAATAAATCGCTTCGGCCAGGGCTTGAGTACCATGGTAAAATCAATTTTTTGAACACTGATCTATATGATCATATTAATGTTACGTTGATAATCATCTTCTCAAACAGTTTCAGAGGATTGAGAGTGGGATGCCATTGAATTAATGAGGTAGTTGGTGGTACCTACTCTCCCTCCATCACTAACCCATCAATTGATGGGATGGGATGGTGATAAAACTTGTAACCATGGCATTACCAAAATCATCTCTCTCTCTCTCTCTGTTAACTTTTCTATGAGTTAACTACATTGGCCTAAACTTTATTTTGCATTATCAGTAATGTAATCACTACTTCACATGCTAAACTCTCTCTGAAAATACATGGCCTCAGTTCTCCTTCTCGGTTCTCGTGTGGCTGCATCGGCGGCCTCAATCTCTGGTGGGAGCGAAACACGCTCATGGCTCATCCTAGCGTGGGTGAGCACAGTGGCGGGGAACCTCACATTGCTCGGATCTGCCTCCAACTTGATCGTCTGTGAGCAAGCTAGGCGCCCTCAGCTGTTTGGCTACACCCTCTCCTTTTGGAGCCACTTAAGATTTGGGCTTCCCTCTACAATTATAGTTATTGCTATAGGGTTGCCTCTCATAAAGGGGTGAAAATAAGGCTTTTTTTGTTCGGTCTTCCATGTGAATTCATCCTCTTGTTTTCTTTGGGGATTGTATACAATGAGGTCATTTACCTTTGATCAAGCTTGCATGTGCTTCAAAGTTCGAAAAAATTTATTTTAAAATTTGAGATTGGTCAATAGAATAATTGCAGCCATCCAATTTCACATGCAATGGTCAAAATTAATGTGACCACTTTGTACCAAAGATAAAATGGTCTCATTCTATACTTTTTTTTTTCTTTATTTTGTTAAAACTAACGATCAAATTGTGAGAATATGACAGAAGTTTTGATTGTTCAAAGGTGGATTTGGGGTTTTGTCCATGGGTTAATTGTGGTCAGCAACAATAATGGGATTGGGGTTTTGTCCATGGGTTAATTGTGGTAAGCAACAATAATGGGATCGGCGTTTGACAATCAGATTTCTGAATGGATTGGCATTTTACGAGGAACTTTGAAAAAATGAAGACATATCCCAAATAGTGGAAAAAAAGAATATTTTGGTATGTCATGTTTACTGGAAGATAGATTATCAAATCTAAATTAAACAATGGTAGGAGACATAAGGGACTACACACCTTTAAGCAGAAAAGATACTCTCATGCAAAAACACTTTAAGCAGAAAAGATACTCTCATGCAAAAACACTTTAAGCAGAAAAGATACTCTCATGCAAAAACACTGAAAAATTAATTTATAGTTCAGACTCAGGAACCTGATAATTAAGTGGGGCAATATGTGGATCATATATTTGATAAGTATCCATAGCCTTTTGTTGACAGAACGAATCCAAAAGTTTTGCTAGATGCTATTCCATAACTAAGAGGTTCAGTTGTTGATATTTATTCTCTCCAATTAGAAAACCTTGAAGAAAGAAACCACCACACTCCATGATGGCTTTCTTTTTTATTTGAAAAGTAGTTGATGATGAGTTTCTCCAAGGAAATTTGGGAATTTATCCATTTCAAGCTATTTAAAATTTTAAGGCCATATAGCATGGCTACTAGCTTGAGAGAGGTTAATGACTTGAAAGAGAGAGAGAGAGAGACAATTGACACTAACTTCCTTTGTTATTAAGAAATTCAGATTTTAATACTCCATTTGCTAGTGCATAAGCCGCGTTCTAAAACTCGGCCGAGGGCCATGGGTGAGACAAGCTTTGGGCGAGTTAGTTGTACACAATGTTTTTAAGCTTGAAGTATAATATTACTCATATTTATATCAGATAAGTCAAAATGATTTACTGGTTAGCTCTAACGAATAAACTTTACTTCTTTTGTTCATAAAAGAGGCCCTTATAATATATAACCAGTTTATTTCTTCATTTTTTTTAAAAAAAATATGACCTGGACTCGAACGAGTTCCTATCCTAGTAACTTACCTCGACCAGGTCCCAAATACACTGGCCGAGTCAATTTTTTTAACACTGTGCATAAGAAATTCATGATTTTGTGGGGTGAATCTCTCTGACAACTGGCCGTGGTGGGACTACTTGAGGAAAGTGGTCTAGCAAGCCATTGTATTGCATTCCTAACTCAAAAGCAGCATTTGTTCACCTTGACAAGCTTCATAAAGTAAGATTGTGGGTGGCTTTTGGAGGTCGCTGTAGAGAGTGCAATCTTTTAGCTATATCTTTTATTTGATGAAGTGCCTGGATTTAGTAGGTGTTGGATTCTATAGATTTTAAGGAGACTTTACTCTTTTAGTTTTAGCTGCTGAAATCTAGTCATTTTTTGTCCCATCCATGCATGTCAAGATGAATATATTTTATGTATAAAAAAAGTATTAATTTTTCTTGTATTACTTATACTAGTTATAGCTCTAGAATCCAAAGGTTTTAAAATTGAGTGCGATTTGTATAGAGCCGAGGCTCTAAACAATCAAATTTGAGCCTACCCTCAAATAGTGTCAAGAAATGTGGTTTCAATATTAGAAATTTTTTACTAACCTTAAAATATATTTTCGTCGTTAACTATAAAATTTAAAACTTCAAAAATAGTGTAGATCGAGTAGATCTATGAAAACTTGAATAACTTAAAAATTAACAGTCAAAAAATGCGTTACAAGATGTACAATTTCCCAAACTTAAAATCCACTTTTTTTCAAGTCCATGCATCTTGATGCCAAGATGATCAATTTGAAGATATTCGAGCATCAAAATAACCTCTTCTAGTAAAATTTTTGAGGTAGGCTCATTGTTTAGTGCCTAGGCTCTATATAAACTTTTCCCTTTAAAATTAGTTCGGACTAGACAGAATATATGGAATGCAAGTTTCGTAATAATAGGAGTAGAGATGGGGAATTAGTTAAGATTGACTGCCAGAAAGTAAAAAAACAACTTCATTTTCGATACCTTGGGGTTGTAATCTAGGAAAATTGAGATATTAAGGAATATGTCACACACATAATTAGAGCTAGGTGAGCGAAGTAGAGATGTGTAACTATAATTTTATGTGATCGCCGCATATAAATGACGTTGATGAGCAAGTTCTATAGGACAGTTGTGAGACAGCTTTGCTCTATGGTGTAGAATGTTGGCTGGACAAAAAACAATAACACATACAATGAGTGTAGCAGAAACGAAGATGTTGGGATGGATGAGTGGTAAGTCAAGGAGGGATAGAATTCGAAATGAATTCATTGGGGATAATTTAAGTATGGCACCAATAGGCAATAAGATGATAGAGATAGTAGACTCAGGTGGGCTGGTCATGTGTGGCGCTGACCAAGACAGTGCTTGTTAGGAGGTGCGAGTTAGTTCAAGTAAAAGGATCGAAAAAAACAAGGGGCGGGCCTAAAAGAATGTGGTTAGAAGTAGTCCGAAAAGATATATGGATTTATGGCCTCATTGAGGGTATGACATTTAATAGAGCAAATGGTAAATCAGGTTTCATATAGCCAACCCCAATTAATTAGAAAAAAATTATGATGATGATGACGACGACTACTTATATTCACTACATGGCATTCTAGAGCTAAGAATAAGTTCATTTAGCCTTCCCTATCTCAAGACTGTCATCACCTATCATCTCCCACTCCCCACCTTCCCCCCAATCCCCCATCCCAAAGACACCTCTCTTGTAAAATATCCAAAATTTCGAACCGTACCTTGCATCTTCCTTGACATTAACTAATCATCTCTTCGAACCGCATCACAGTCGGACACTCTCGACATGACCTTTTAGTTCTCATTGGTGCTGCAACCTTCCGTTCCTCTTTCTTCCTTATGCATGGCAGTCATCCTCCTTGGATTGGCCGTGATTTCTTCAAACCCCTATTGCCCATTTCTTATAATCCCTTTCCTCAACAAAGACCTGCTTAGCAAGAAAACCATAAGTTCAAAAGAAAAGACTGAACTCAGAATCTAAGTTTCATTTGCTTAACTCATCCATTTTGATTATACATGACCAAGGCAATTAGTTTTCAAAAAATTATATTAAAAAAAAAAAACACAAAAATCACTTTCTCTCATTTTCTTCACTACAAATCACACAATCAGCATAAATTTTTATCAAAATTCATATAAAAAATTAATATCAAAACTAATATCAATAGACACTCAGACAGGAAACTTCTCAATATGTAGGTATTAAATATCGAAGGTCCATAATTCACTTTGCCCTTTTTTTTTTGGAAACTCAAATGATACCATTTTTAGTGATTTTTTGAAAAACTTTTGAGACTGAAACTGGCCGATCGCTGATCCAGATTGCCGATCTACCTATCCATTTTTTAAAACTTTGATTTGTACCCTTGCTCACCATTTGAAAACTTGAAAATTTTGAAAATTGATGGTCCAAAAATACATTAGAGGATGCACTATTTCTAAAATTTGAAATCCATTTTTTTTTATGTCCATGCATCGTGATATTGAGATGATCAATTCGAGGATTTTTGAGCATCAAAACAACCGCTTTTAGTAAAATTTTTGAGATACGCTTTAATTTGATTGTTTAGAGTCTCACACGTATATAAACTTTTTCCTTGTTTTATAACGCCGTGTTTTATAGTGAGACAGTTTTGACTGCTTGTTATTTACATGTGGTGTGAGTTGTGCTGAAACGCTGGCTTTGTGGTTTGAAGTGGCCAATTGATTCGGTTCTGTTGGATTGTCTTCTCACATTCTATACTTTCTCGAAGTTTGGTAGATGATTTTACATAAATTGGACACCTCCATTTTTTTTATTTTTTTTCTATCCAGTGTATAATATGAGAATAAAGTCCTTATGGAGTTTTATGCATCCCGAGCAGTATGCACTTTTGTAGTTTTTGTTTTTCCTTGTGCTCTTCTTAAATAGTTAAGGATAAAGTTAAATTGTGATCTGATCGTACTTTTGTAGTTTTAGTTTTTCCTTGTGCTCTTCTTAAATTATTATCTGGTCGGTGCTGCAAAGGTCCCTGCGCAGTATCGTAAAAGATGCAATCTTGTGCTTATACATAGACTAGGCATACTGTGTTGCAACTCGTAGAAATTATAAGTTGATATAATTTATCTGAGATTTTATAGAATCATTGAAAAAGTAATGCATGGGATAATGCTTTGAAAGATGGCACACCAAGACTTGTACCTATGATATGAAATTTTTCACATGGTGATGATGGCACAGCGGCTTGTGTTCGACAAAGCAACTCAGCGGCTCAAAGGATATGGTTTTATTCCAAACCATGAAGGCCATGGATGGCAAGATATTCTCTTGCTTATCTTGGAAGGATGATAGATTGTTATGGGACCTGCATAACCTTTGGGCTAGCACCTGGCCAGCCTGGGCCCCAGCGAGGTTAATCTCTAGCCAACACCCCCACCATGGCATTGGCTTGTCTTGGTAGGGCCAGGCTAAATTTTTTTTAAAAAAAAAAAAAAAAAGGTAAAAATAATAAAGAAAGAAAGAAAATAAAGGTCCCGGCCAGGCCTTGGCCCCACCCTGGGGTAACATTTGGTGGCCCAAGCTTTACTTTTTTTTAGGATCGGGCCAAGCCAGGCCTCCCGACCC